TATTTGTATAACATTTCCAAATTGCAAAAGTGTTTCCTTTCTTCCTTGTCAAATGAAGTGAGCTCTGGCTGGAGTTGTTTTTCTGTGTAAATACATAAGAACCTAATTTAGATGTTAGATTTCCGATAGAATCCAGATGTATTATGAATATATGAAAATTGTATGTTTTTTAGGCTGTTGAAACATATACATATATACGAGTAAATTGTATTGCATTATATGAAAGTAGAAGCAGAAGCACTTGACAACGCGCCCGTTGTCTTGGCCATGTACATACATATTGAAGTATTATTTAAACCATTGGGCTTATACCAATATCAGATTGTGTCTGTAAGGAGTATATAGCTTTAACAAGACAAGACAACATATACATATGTACACTAGGGGAAAGTATTGCCAATGCCTTAGAGGGACCATATAGACATGATCCTTTTATGCAGGCCAATTAACTCAGTAAAAAAAAAAAAAAACACACACACACACAGATACACACATATATGTATGTATATGTATATATATATGTATATACTATATAGAGTAAATTATGCTTTTTTTTTTTGTTTTTTGATAAGACGCAATCGTGTAACTCTCTTACTCCGATGTGTGTGGCATCTATCAATAAATAAATACAAGCAGATATCGAACAAGATCTGGGTAATACGAGAGACTTCCTAATTCGTATGTATAGACTAGTAGGGATACATATTAGTTAGAATATGGCGTGACAAATCGACAAGCAAAAACAACAACAACAACAACAACAACCACAATAATGACAACTAACATATAAATCTATATATATCTAATGATATTTTGTAACATGATAGTGTTACTGCTTTATTAAGAATACCGTACACCTGATGATGGGTCACGTTATATACCTCAAAATGTATGTACAGATATTATTTTCATAAATACCATATGATTTTTTTTTTTTTTTTTTTTTTTTTTTTTTTTTGCGTTTCTTTGGGGCCTTGCTTTTGGTTCGCCCTTTTTAGTTTTTGTTTTTCGTTTTCGTTTTGCCAGAGAACAACTCGCCACCGAGATGATATTCATAGAAGTGTAGATTAGGACATATATATATATGAGTCGATATCGTTTATATATGTGTTTTAATTTTTTCTATTAAACCGTAAATCCTTACATCATTTACTATGACAATTCCAGTTCCCCGTGCTTGTTATATAAGAAACTAAACTAATACAAATAAACTTTTAGAAAAGTGATACTTTGTTTTTAGTGTATACGATATGTACGATATGCATGTACATATGTGCAGGCTCCAATGTCGGTTCTCCATATAAGCAACCTATTTTTTTAAGTTCCCCTAAAATACAAAAAAAAAAAAAAAAAAAAAAAAAAAAAAAAAAAAAAAAAAAAAAAAAAAAAAAAAAAAAAAAAAGAAAAGGAGAAACAAAAATCCTAATACCTTTTTTTGGATTACATATTATTATTTTAATTTTTAATATTATTATTATGTATATGTAAGTGTGAAATACATTAGCAATACAATGGTAGCTACTAAGGTATTTTTTTTATTTAATTTTTTTCTATGAATTTACACAATCTTGTAAAAATAGTTAAAAATAAATATAATTTAGCTAGATGTATGCTTATGAAGGCAAATTTTGAAAAGTTTTTCTTATGTTTCTTTTGTGTCTGTTTACTTTACATTTTTATTATGCAAATTTCAGGAAAGGCAGAAAGATATATGATTTCCAGATTATTCTATTTATTTTCTATTTTTATTTTTTTTCGTAAAATGATTTTGATAGGATTATAAAATACACCAGTGTACATATATGATACAATGCATTGATTCATATACGTTCTACAGGCATATATGTATATACATACATATAGGTATATTTGGAAACAAAAATGTGAGAGCTTTCAGATTTCGGACATATCTGATTAGATATAGAGGATATCGATCAGATTTCCGATGTAGTAGATAGCGACAATATAATTGCATATATGTATATGTGCATATATAGACACTAGGATCATAGCTCTACATATATAGAAGAAATCGACGCTGGGATCATAGCTCGAAGAATTATGTATGTCTGTACACGTTCGCTGGTAAATCGTGAAGGTCTTTTTCCATTTTAGATTTACATAACTGTATATATGAACTGCAGTCCAATTTCCGATATATGTATAGGAGAGGACCATTCCGATTCCTGGTTTGTATAACTCGTTATATAGAAACTTCCTGTTCTACGATATCCCAAAGAGCGTAGTAATCTGTAATTCTTACTCCGATTTTTTTTCCACGCTATTAGACAAGAATCTACATATATATTTATACAGCAAGTCCTTCAAATAGCCAGCAAGCCGATGTACCCTATTCTCTCTTTGCATAAACGAGTATGGCAAATGCGCACAAGCGATCGATTAGAGCGAGACGCCGCTATTTCTGGCATCATTGTCTGTGCTCTCTAAGTGTTACATGTTCCAAAAATAATCAGCTGTACTTTTACTAAATTAACTTTATTACATTTTTTGGATTTAAAAATTTAAAAAAAAAATACATTTTGCGCAATAAAGGTAAGCTATTTAACATAAGTAACTAACTCAGAAGTGAGAAAGGGATAGCACTAACATATAGTCAAAACTTAAACTTTGCATAACTTATACAGAAAACAAATTTTTCATTTATTTTTGCTTAGCTAAAATTGTAAATTTTCCCTTACATATCTTGTCGCATTATTAAGAAATTTTGGGTAGTTTTTTAGATTTAGCAATACATGGGATATATGCTTTAAGCTATTCAAATTTGTTTCCGAATTTTTACATCTAAAAGAATTCCAATGGGTAAGTATTTCAGTGTATGTAGAAAGAGATGGCTTACATATATCTGACACCTCTCTCTCTCTCTCTATCGTTCTCTTTCTATCATCAGTTGATGGAGCAAAATTTAATTTTTATACAAAACTGCAGCCTATGGAGCGCTATAGGAGCTCCAGCCACTACATCCCTTTCTTTAAAAAAATTAGTTACTAAAAATAAAATTACTTAAAGAGTAACTGGTCTATGGTCAGATTGGACTTATGTATAATATAACTTAATTTGAGTTTAGTTAGGCTTAGTTCAAGAACAGTTGAGATGGAGAGACATCTACAGAGATGCCTATAGAGCTGCTACTATTTCTAGTGTTTGATTAACTTTGTATTTTGATACATAGCTCTTAATATAACTTAATTGCTATAGCTGAAAGTAATTACAGATTGAATCAAACCCCAATAATAGACACTGGCTTAATCGTGGTGATTGCCTTCATTTATTACACGATTTGATTTTAGTTTCCGTGTGTTACAATATTAGGAGTATTTCGGTTAATCCAGCTACATGTTTGCGGTTTCTGTTTCGGAGTCCGTTTGTGTTTTGCAAAACTGAAATAGTTGTCAGTGTATGTGTAGTATTTTTGTGTGCTCATAGGTTTGCTAAAACTAAGAAAGTCCGAATTAATTGAAGGCAAACATTGTATTCCAAATTCCTTGTTGAGAACGCCCCCGGCTGC